ATTTACGAATAATTAATTAATATGTGCTTGTGTAATTAATTTATTCTTTCTCTTGAATTTAATATTCTAGCCTTTATAGTTTGTTGAGAGCTTTTAATATTGATATCTCTTATCAATAAAATTAGAAGAGGCACTTAAGAGCTTGAACGTCACTTAATTTGTTTCTTGTATCATTTATGGCTTGTTGAGTTACTCTAATTGTTTATATATATTGTAATAATTCACACTCTAAGTTGAAATTAGCAAAATATATTTGAAACTTAATTCGTTTTTCCTCTTAGGTTACCTCATATATTTGGCCAACAGTATTAAATAAAAATGATTTAATGAGGGAGACTTTGATAATTGTGTATTTTATATACAATCATAATTGTTTTTACTTAGTTTTGAGTAATTTTTATTAGTTTTTCATATGATTTTAGTTTATTTTATAAATTTTAAGTGATTTTGAAAGAATTTGGAAAGTTTTAGATGAATACACAAAAAGATAAAAACCTGCACTGACAGATGCATGTTCATACAAGTGGTAACGCACATCAGTCATAGAATCTCTCCACACAGAATTTTCAAGGCAACAATCTGCATAAGCAGGTGCATGGTCATGCAGACACAATTCAGAGTTTGATTTTATTTTATCATGTTTTCTTTTAGTTTCAGTTTTTGGTTTCTAAATTTAATTATGGAGTAGATTTATTTTTGTTAGGAAAAATATAAACCCTAAACTACAATGGGTATTATTTTGATTAATGATATATAATTTAGTTTTTGTTTTCTAGATTTAATGTTTGTGTTGATATTTTGTTGATTGAATTCCTTAATTATGTGTTGAATAGAGAAGTTAGAGTTTTTAATTAATGAAATTTGAATGCATGATTATTAGTGCTTTATATAATATGTTTAATAATAGATTTGTTCGAATAAATAATCTGAAATTGACTTGTGACATGTATTCGTGTTCCTAAATAAAATCGGATAATTAGTTGATTATATTTAGATTTTTATTAAAGTATCTGAATAAAAATTTCATTTAAATATGAAATGTTATGTTTCTGAATAAGATTAATCAAACTTTAGAATTAATCCATCAATCTTAACACATATTTTATTATCAATATTGATATTTAGGCAAGTTTAGGAAGACTGTAGGCTCTAATGTTATTTTATTGATTGATTTACTATGATTATTTAGCTTTCTGTAATTTTATTTAGTTTTATAATTTACTTTTATTCAAATATTATTTCTCAAATACAACTTTTAGTATAATAATTTGTTTATAAAAGTTAATTTTCATGGGACGATACTCAGATTTACATATCTATATTAATGATATAAGTAGTGTGCTTGCTAGTGTTGTATAGAATGCATCAGACTCAGTAGTATCATAAAATCAACTTACATTGTTTCTCATGCAAAATTATATTTTAAAAATCGAATTGTAAATGTAAAGTTATATCCATGCAAATGCAAACATATGCATTTAGTATGGACCATTTGATTCACACATTCAACCTTTTCTGTTTTAGTCATGAAAATAAAAACAAAAATAAAA